TAAGTATTTTAGGTTGAATTACAGTGCAGCACTTTCCCTCAATTTATTTATAAATTGTCTGCTGCTCTCTGGAAAGCTTTTCTTCCTCTCCTCGTAGTTGAGCACGTTGTTTCATAAGGTGTTTGGAAATATACATTTCTATTATTACTGTGCTAATATTTGTTTTCAGTGACATTCATCACCATATTATTAACTTTTACGTGGACATGCTTATGTACTTAATCTTTTGTGGTTTCTGAATACGTTGAGTTTGAACAAGATAAATTGCTCAATTTGTATAATAATATACATTATTATACAGTATCTATGAACACTACAGAAATATTGATAGTAAAATGGTTTTGCTCAGCTGCATTCAAGAGAGCTGAGTACAGAGCTCATGAGTTCTGTGAGTGAACGAGTTCATTAGTAGGATGATGAGGACAGTATCCCCTGGTGTCAATTACCAGTCTGATAGCTCAAGGAATGAGTATTCATATCATGAATTTTGGAGCCAAAGCTATATCGAAAAAGTAATAAAATTTAGAGGGACGTAATATGATGTCAACCAACAACTGTATTCTGTCAGAGCAAAAGAGTATTTGCTGATCAGTCATGAACAACACCATCGAATTTCAGTCACTGAAAAGATGTTTTTTTGTGTATGTGTGTATACACACACGTATTTATAGGTGTGTATATATTCATATACATATATATGTTTTGATTATGAATATATTGCCTGTGACTGGACTTACTTAAGTATTTAAAAATCTCTACCTTGTAGGAAGGACCTCCTAGCATTCCTATTTCAGATAATAGTTTATTTTCTATAGAAAGCTGCTGTTTTCAGCATTTTTATGACTAAGATATCTAAACTTTTCATGTGGACAGAAAGCCAAGTTCTGTTTCTCTCCAACTGTATGTTTTAGTGCACACATCTTGCTTGTCTAGTAGTAGTAGTACCCTCCCTTTATGAAAAAGGGGTGAACAGGCATGAGAAACAAAAGAACAGGAAACTCTGACATATGCCAGCTGATTGCCCTCCCACGCTTGACTTGGAAAGGAACTATTTCTTTTCAGGTAATACATTACATTTAAGATGTTGTGCTGGTTTTTCCACAGAAGCAAATCTGGAGGTATGCTGTGCACTGATGTACCAAAAAAATTTATACTTTTTTATAAAAGCATGGGACATACCCTCGTAGATATTTTGTAGTTAAAAGGTGTTTTTGGAGGGGGTGTGTGTGGTTCCTGTAGCAACAAAAAGATTTGCTGTTGATTTTAGATCTTTTTCCTCTTCCAGTTCCAAGCAAATAAAAAGGGCCTGCTTACTTCTCCTTTTCAGGGGAAAGGACTACTTTGACTCAAAAAGGTAATGCTGCAGATGCAATAGGTTGTCACTGGCTTCAAGCCAGTAAGTAACATTTGTAAAGAGAAGGTGCACGTTTTTTGTTTACGTGGCATCAGGAGTGAGTCAGCATCACTACAGAAGTTGTCTTTCTTTCCCCTTGGCATCCAAGCACTATCCTGTCCTCACAGGGAGGTTTCAAAGAGACAGATGGCAATTAACTGAGAATTGGCAGATGTTGGCATGAGGCTTAATATCCCCACCTCTCCTTTTTGCAAGTTGTCTTGAGCAGTGAATGTCGGGTCAACTGACCATCCCTTCACCTTGATATAAAGGCTCCGAACACACACTTGGAAAAGTTGTTCTGTTTCCCTGTCTTTCTTCCCTCTCCACCTCTCATGCATTATCCAGATTAACCATATTAATGATGTGTTTGAAATGAAGGCAGTTGTGTGGTAACGCTTAAGTCTACCACTAATTCATTGATAATTGTTGCCAAGAAAATTCACGCTTGAACTAGGGCTTATAAACCGAGAAGCAGAAACCCTACCATAACTGCTTTTACACAGCTTTGCTAGTATTTTTGTCACTTGAGTTGTTATAAGCAAAGCACTATAAAAGGAAGATAATTCTGCTGATTTTTTTCTTACCTTATCTTTGCAGAGAACTGAAGTTTTGTGTTTGGATGATAATTTTAAAAAAATCGTTGTAGAGAATACAGAGTTTTTAGAATTATTTGTAATAATAACTATACAGACAATCATCCAAATATTTTCAGGCATTCAATTTTCAGCTACAAGTAGGGAAAAAAAAAAAATCCTGGTGGGAATCTGGAAAGGAGGGGCGAAAAAGCAATCACTGTACTGTTATTGAAAACTCAACTTCTAGCCTAAAGAAGGTAGCCCTGGGGAGAAATAGGTAGATGGCATTGGGAATAAAGAGTTGAATTTTGGGCTGAAAAGTCCTGTTACATTTTTGCCTCTGTCAAATATTAGATGTGTGTACTTGGTTATATCACTCAATTTTTTTTCTTCCTCTCTAATCAAAACCACATACTATAGAAATAATTATCATTTTGGAAAACTCAATCATAGTTATGTGTAAAGTACCAAACAGAAAACTTGAAACAGCAACTTCTAAATTCACTACTTAATGATGATTGTTCTGGATTAGACCAAAAAAGTAATTAATTTACCATTTTTGTAGTGTTCCTAGGCTTGCTGGGGTTGTTTCACCGTGACATCTGGAAGTGGAAACAATTGCGTGACAGACAAGCTCACAGGGAGACATGGAAGCTGGGGAGAGGGTTACCTGCCCTGTCCACAGTATTTTCCAGAATAGAGTGTAGCTGGTCTGCAGTTGCCTGTGTTGGGCATGGTCCTGTCCTGCCATGCACTAAGAAACATGAAAATGGTGAGAGTGTGGAAGGAGAGCAAGGGAAATTGTGAGTGGGCAGTATTAAAGACCTTGTAGCTGTAGTAAATTCTGCACAGACAATGCAGAGCTACAAGAATACATGAATAAATTCACCTTTTATGGGGAAGGACACGAGTAGGTTGCTAGGGGAGCCAGGCTGATGGGATGCAATGGGTGGTGGAAAGATAAGTATCACTCAGATACCTGCTATGGAAGATCTAAAAGGACAAAACGAGGAGAAAAAGGAGTCAGTAATTTTCTGTTAGGAATTAAAGTTAGAGTTTACCTTGGGAAGATGCAAAGTTCCTCTATTAAACTGTTTTCCCTAAGTATGGAGAGCAGCACTGGGCACCACAGCACAGGGTCACAGTGTGGAAGGAAGGGTCTGAGAATCATACACAGATGATCTCTCCAGCAAGGAAGAAATGGAGAAGAGCAAGTAGGGAGAAGCTATAGTGTGGTTCTGGTTTGGGGGGCAAACATCCCCTGTGCTGGGCTGAGTAATTCCTGCACAGGAGTATCACATTTTGGCCAAGTGGTTACTTTGGGGACTAGATTGCATACTTTTTGTAGAGTTCCACCTTGAGTTACTCAAGGATTTCAACACAATAGTGCAGATTTGGTTCTGGTTTCAGAAGAAACAGTTTGAGACAGGTTTTTTTTTTTTTTGAGTTGGGTTTACACTGGGCTTAATTCAGCACAGAGCAAGGATGGCTGTTTTTGTAGTGTGTTTGAGGGTTAGAACAGAAATAAGTAGCAAAATTCTTCTGTCTCCCCATCCCTTTTCCCTCCCAGTTGAGCTCAAAGAACTAGAGGTAATTCACAGAAGTCTCTCTGTAACACCTTCCAGCAATCGCCAGGTTGTGACCTGATCAGCTGGAAGACTGAGCTGCCTTCATCCTAATGTGTGGTGGCAGAACATGTTAGGAAAAGCAACATAGCTTTTTCCCATATTGTACCAGTGCATAAAAGACTTCATTTTTCAGAGCTGTCAGTCTGTCATTTTCTTGAACCCTACTACATGCAGTGAATTATTTCCTCCCCTCAGACAAAGACAATACAGTTAAATTCCTATGTTTTCTGACTTAAATGTTTTCTTATCTTGGCTAAAAATAAAATCTCCTATGATTTTCACTTTTGAAACTTGCATAGAGTTTGCAAGGGAACATAGTCTAAGAAACTATGTTAATTTTTCAGTTGGTGATGTGACATTTAAACTTGTTTTAAAAGAAGAATAGGAAAAGAACCCCATTGTTAGCCTCAGTGTAATTATGTTCTTGTTCCATCTCTGCACCTTTCCCCTCCATTCGCAGGCACTCATTCCCACTGGGTTGCTGAGCCAGCTTAGAGCCTGCAGGTGGAGAGGGCTGCTCTGTAGGATGTCGTAATGGCACCTGAGCTTCAGCTGCCTCCTGAAGCTGTGCTGGAAGTTACCATCCACAGTGTCTGTCCTGCAAAAGCTTGTCTTAAATATTGGCGGTCTGCTGGTGGCTTGGGGCACTTTGACACAATGTTCCCTGTCAGTCAGCACAGTGAAGACATTGGGTAGCCTACATGCTTCTGAGTGTGTCAGTCTTGCTGCCGCTGTTAAGCGTTCGTGACTTGTTTTCTGAGCTATTCTTCATGTACCTTAGGTTTGTTTTCATCACTAATACAGAAACTCCTGTTCAGAATGTCAATTTCTTCACTAGACCTTCTTCTAGCGTGTTTTGGAGGCACCCTCAATTCATTATTCTTTGTCACTTTTTAGGCAAAGAGTGCTTGTGCCAATAGAGCTTTTTTTAACTGCGTCTCAGTTTTTTATCTTCATTTTCATCTGTCCAGATGTGACAGAGCTGTTAATAGAAAGCACACAATAAGCTAACACTGAAATAATTGCTAATTGCAATCCCGGTGGATCTACCAAGAGATGGCCACAAACCATGTGTTTCGTTAGGTCTGCAGTATTTTTTAGCCAAAAAGAAAACTGCTTGCTTGTTTAAAAAAATTTACATTTGTGAGTGGTTGCTTGTTTTGCACTAGCAGTGCAAATGCCGTAGGTCAGTAGTTCTGCTGAATGTGTAATGTCTACGTTGTTTTCAAATGGGTAGTCATAAACTTAAATGCAGTAATAGACCTGTGAGGAGTTGGTCTAGTTTTGAAGAGGCTTGTTCTATTTCTTTTTTAGAGAAGATTAAAATCGCTTCATATGTGGTTTTCATTTTGTTCTTCCATGGAACACTTCGTCTGAGAAGCTTTCTTCTTTTTCTTGCAGTCCTCATTCCATCCCAGATCGCCTGCGGATCAGAGTGAACAGGATTAATTTACAAGAATATGAGGGCCTACATTACGACAAGGAAAAACTCCGGGAAGCCTGTAAGTTGGAAGAAGCCAGGTTGTAGCTGCTTTTGGTAGAACATTGCTATAATTCTTACAATAACAATGAAATGGAAACCACCCCAAAACCAAACGAATAACAAAAAATCCTAAACACAGGGTCAAGCATACATTTTGGATGTCATGTGGAGTGTATGTTCACCTATGCACATGCATATTCTTTCTATATAAATACTCTCCATAAAAAAGCATATGTAGAATTCACCTGTTTTCTTACTTAACTATGCCTTCTATAAGTTGGTTTTTATTTACTGTGAAATAAGGTTTTCACACCTGTTGTTTTTCATTCACACTTTTCTGTTGGTTCTGCTGGGTTTCTACTAGTCTATTAAACTATTCCAGATTTTATGATTAGGATCAAATTTGAAGCCAAGGAGTGGGGGAGACCATGATAAATTTCATATTGAGAATGTGCTCTGACCCTGAACATGGTTCTTGCACAGTTACGTTTATCTTGGGGAATAAATCTGGCTTGCCTAGCCCCTTATTCTTCAACAGCCTCATTTTTTCACATAACAGAATAATAACTGTTTTGTTTCCTCATGTAATGGTTTAATTGCCATGTTCAGGGGTAAGTCAAAAGGAGACAGCAGTTGCTTTGGCAACATTGATGATGACAATCCACACTTAAAAATGGGGTTCCTTTCCTTGGTGACACAAGGGGTCATTAATCAATGAGGGACATGGCTGCTTGTAATAACAATTTCATAGTCTTGTTCATGCATCTGGCTCATTATTCATATTAAATTACTAGCATGACTGTTTGAGCAACAAAGCTTCAGCTCCCTCCATAATACAGAGTGCTCTGGTAATTACAGGATGACAATCCTTTTAATTGGTTTGCTTATCTTACTCCTGGAAGATAGTTAAACTATTTCACTCCTCTAGTCCCACCCCTCCCTATTCTCCCAGTTCACCAGCTTTCCTTCCAACAAAAGAACTTGAAAGAATTTAAATTTTAATATAAGTCCTGACAGCCTTTTCTGAAGTTTCTATTAGTGGATTTTGGTCATAGTTAAAGCAATTAAATCTTTTGTCATTGGACCAAGAGAAGAATTTTCACAGGATGAGGATTATGGCTCACTGGAGAAGAATTTTCTTAAAGTTTAAATTAAGAGTTTGACCTTGAGCAGACTTCAGGCTGTATTGACCCCACACCTATCCAGCCCTATCAGAAGCCATCTGGTTCATTTGATGGTTCTTCCTATCTGAGGAGAACTGTCCTTATCCATCCTCACTATCGAAATAAATTCTCTGTGTGGTATATATTTTGTAGCCCTTAAGAGCCATTTACATGTTCTGACACAAAATATACAACTTTTTTACACTGTTGTCACTGCAGTTGTAAATGTGTTTGGAATTTGTGACCTGCAAAAAAAACCCCATAATGATAACATAAAAAATGCCAGAGAATGATGTAGCACCTCTGACACTTGGTTTTAGATTTCACATGCATTTGACCACTTGCTGGATGTGTGATTAAGAGGTTTTCATTCAAAAAGTAGATGTTTGTCCATGAAGAGTTGAAAAGATTGCTTTTTGGCATTGGAAGGTCATTTGCAGTAAAATCCTTCTGTCTCTCAAGTTACTGCATGTCCATCTTGATGATATAACATAGCTGGACTGGACTACTTATAACTTACATTACATATAACTTAGGGCATACACTGATGGTCACCAGTCTACGTCTCTGGACATATAATGTAACTGTCTCCTGTGAGAATTGTCCAGCCTTTAACTTTCAGAAGTCTGATCCTGATTTGAGGACTTCTGGGTGATGGTAATTACGACTGAAGAAAATTAAGTATGGGAAGAGAAGTGCTCTCTAAATAATCAGAAACCAAAATGTTCTAAATATTCTAGTCAACTCTTTAAATTCCATGAAGTAAAATATGAGAAATCCCCGTGGCTCACTCGGCATAACCTTACAATCAGAGTTTTCCTGTGTATCTCCTCTGGAAAACGAAGCATAGCCAGTCATCAAGCTGCATGGCTACACCAGAGGACTACTTAATTTTTTATGAGGAAGGAAGTTGGAAAATCATGTCAATCTTCCCTTTAAGAAGACTACATAGCCATTTGAATTGCATTTCTGACATCGTGCCTTGGGTAAATTTTAAGTGGCTTTCTGGTGGTAGGTCTATGGATTGCTGCTTGCCCCGCTCTATTATGAGCTAAAACTTCATATGAAATGTGTGCTATCTATGTCCTTAGCAGCAAATCATTTCATGGAGTATTGCCACTGAAAGTCCCTTGGATAAAGAAGGAGAAGGGAAGTGCTGGGGGAGAAGAAACACTCCTTTCCTTACTAAAGGAAGTGATTGAGGTGATAGGGGAGGGATTGGAAATAAATAAATTTCCGTTGCAGGTGACTAACTGAAATTTTGTCAGTCTGAACTAAAAACTTAAATGCAGATAATACTTATGCACTAGTAAAATACAAGATCACGTGTTTTGGGCCTTGTTTCTACAAGGCCTGTTATTGCAAGTGTGGTTAACTTCCTTCAGCATGACTGTAGCTCTCAAGCACCTGTACACTAGATGCTTGCAAGATGCTCAATTTACACATCTATTCAGGCAGAACACCTACAACTTAATTACAGAATGTTATACTTAATATCCATTCCCTGCCCACAAGGATTAGAAGCACTTTTACCTTCCTAAATAATCTGTCAACCAAACCAGAATCTCAGCAATCTCAACAGGGAAAGGAAGCCAGCTGATATTGAGTTATCCCTGAAGGAAAAATTGAAAAGAAGCTATTACAGATTTGCCTGTTACAAGTCTCCATAATAGAGTTTTGAAAACTGACATCACTGTAATACTCTGGATCATTTTAACTCACAGTAAATATATTTTACTCCCCTTGTTTGCTTGAAATACTGATTTGATTCTATCAATTACACCTAAAATTGCACATCCCAACATATAACGCCTCATCATGCAAACTGTCCCATGAAGATTAATCTTCACTCTGCTGGAGGTAGACACCTCATTTTGAAAGCCTCCTGAGCAATTAAAGAATGTAATTTTGTCCTCTGAAGGGCATGACTGTTCTTAGAAAACAACAGAAGGAGAATGGGCTACTTTTCTTGTCACTGCAGCTGGCTTTTAACCAAGATGCTGTTTCTGAATTATCCCTTTCTTCCCTCCCCATGCTCCTTCGTTTCTCCTCCATTCTTTCTTCTGTCAATGTCTCAGTATTGTCTCTAGGATGATTGATGGTACAGGGGGTGCTTGTTGATCCTTCAGCAAGGAGGGGTGAATACTTCCATACACTCTCTTAAAGGGATGTATGTTGGCATTTGCTTTATGTTGTAATGTTCTTTGCTGTAAATGTAGTTGTCTTCTCTAACACAATATACATACTCAAAACACTTGTCAACCTAGTCACTAGCTTCACCTCATTCTGCCCAAAATGGCAGTTGTACATTACATGACCATATCAAAGACTGTCATATTCAAAAGTGAGTTGGGTTGATATTTCTAGGGGGACAGAAATTAATTCTGTCTCTTGCCTACATATATTCTGTGCACTCTTTCTGCTTTCCTGTTATCACAGGAAGTATGATTTAGAGCAGCATTGTGGGGAAACAATTGAGCAAAACCTTTCTGTTTAATACGCTATTTTCCCCTTTCCAATGTTACTAAGAAATTCCTGACAATAGGGGTATATGCGGAAAACAATTATATTTAAAAAAAAAAATCTGTCTCTTGCCTACATATATTCTGTGCACTCTTTCTGCTTTCCTGTTATCACAGGAAGTATGATTTAGAGCAGCATTGTGGGGAAACAATTGAGCAAAACCTTTCTGTTTAATACGCTATTTTCCCCTTTCCAATGTTACTAAGAAATTCCTGACAATAGGGGTATATGCGGAAAACAATTATATTTAAAAAAAAAAAAACACCAACCATGAAGACAGCTGTGAAATAGCTCACCGTCAACAGTAATTGCACAGTTGTGTGTGTGGTTGTTTTTTTTGTTTTTTTTATAATAGATGTGTCAGTTCTTACTGTCCTTAACTTGTTTTGTGTGGTTTAGCAATGGAGAACAGTGTTAGTTTGCTCAATACCACTAAGATTAAGGAGGACTCATACCCAATGCATTCATGGAACTATCAGAAATAACTCAGCTGTTGAACAGCTCTGGGTCTCTCACACTGTGTTTTACAGACACAGTTGTTCCTTATCTCTTCTTGAATAAAATGGCATACTAGATTAAAAAGCAATTTTTGAAGAAAATCTAGTTCCATAACAATTGAACTATCTGTAATCTAACAATCCTTTTCTCGGCTGTCTTTTTGCTTTATGTGTGTGGGTGGTGCAACATGATGTGATGTTAACCTTGAATTCTTTTCTTTCTCTGATTTATATCTAGCCAGGTGTCTGTATTGCATGTGTCCCTGTCTTTAATTTCTGTGGGTTATCCAGAGCTTTTGGGGTCATCCTAGGATTTTTTTACCAGGTACACGTAGGTACATGGAGTGAGAAGCTTGTGAGTCATCTGGGATGTGTACGTGTACAGAGATACTTTAGCTTCCTCATACCAGCAATGCACTTACGACAGTTTGAGAATTCTTGATCTATGAAATACATTCTGGCATTTTAAGGCTCAGGGATATGGCAGGTGAAGTAAATTTGGAGACTATTCCACATGATTTTGAGCAACTAGCTAAATAAGAAAAGGTTATCACTGAGGACTTAATATCTTCATCCTGAATATCGATAACGTAAAGGATAGAGGGGAGAAGACCTCCTGCTGGGTGGTGAGGTAAACCTGTAGTAGATGGAGTCAGGACAGGGGAGATTAGCTACTGAAAGTAATGTGCTCATGTTGGGGAAACAACATTGATCTGCATGGATATAGGTGAGATGGGTTGTGTAGCTACAAATTTTTCTTCCATTCTGTAAAGGAAGCACCAATGGTCACTTATTTTTCAGGAGGTCTCTTAGGAGACATGGTTGCTTATCTGTAG